TATATATATATATATATATATAAAGCAATTGTTTGCAATTATGTTTGAGTGTTTCGTTTTCATTTCTGGAAGACTGACGCAGCGTTTCTTTGAAAAAAAAAAAAAATCAATCCTGGAGTCGTGCTCTGAACCTCTCCCTTTAAGGGAATGTGTGCTGAAGCCTCTTTTCATTGGGGGGTCTGTAAATTGGAAATGAGTAAACGTTCTCCCACATACTCCCGCCCCCTGCCTCGCAACAGCTGTAAGATATTAGGCCTTATTTTCTCTTCCATTGAGAGACAGGAGGAACAGGCTCTTTCCCTCGCTATGATCAGGCTCGAGAGGACAATGGGGATCCATTAAATGAACGATCTGGAAAGATCTGCACCATCCAAAAACAAGTGCAGAGGACTGGGTCGGAAAATCAAAGGTGTGATTCATGATATCTTTCCAAAACATATTGGAAAATACTGGAGCCCTATTTTGCAGAACAAAACCAATTTTCACTTTTTCAGTTTTCTCTCAAAATGACAAAGATGTTGGGCAATTTGCACATGATTTTCTTAAAGTTCATTCATCATTTAGTCATCCTCATGTTGTTCTAAATCTGTGTGGCTTTCTGTCTTCTGCAGAACACATAAGAAGTTATTTTGAAGACTGTGCTGGCTGCTCTTTTTTTATGCAAGTGCAGTGAATGGGGACTGGAGCTTTCAAGCTTCACAGAGGATGGATTAAAGTGTACTTTTATGATGCATATTCATTCAGTGTATTCTGAAGTCATTATGAAAGTTTGTGTGCTAAACTGAAATCGAAGTCATTATTACTAATTCACTGAACTGTGTCAATGCTTTAGGCTACTTTTGTAGTTGCAACCTTTCTAAAGTCTTGCTTATATTTAAAGCGGGATAATATACTATGTTTTACTACGGGGGGGGGGATATATATACTCACAGGCAACTTTATTGAAAAAAAGAATTTTGTTTTAGATAAATGTATGAATGCACACCAAGTGTGAGAGCACTTACCAAAGATTTCAGGATTTGGTGTTTGTCCTTGCAAGCAACCACAGCCATAGACACCACCTCTCTTCTGGCAAGTCTCATTTTCAGTGCAAGTATTACAAACTAAAACAGAAAAGAAGATGATCAATGCACAAAATGTGATGCAGTGACTGGTTTCGATCACGAGAATGGTTCGAGTTCGGTGCAGAGTTCTCTGATATAAACCACAAATAAATTAGTTTATGCTACAAAGCTGTTGAATGCTTGAATCTGATTGGCTGATGGACGTTCTAAGGTGTGCAATTATTTAAAGGGAAATGCACGGCGAATTAGCAATGGAGACATTGGATGAGATGCGTAATAAAATAATCCTTCTCACAAGAGCATTTTAAATACAAACACCAGACGAATGCTTTGAAAGATATCATCTGATCGATGTCTTGATGTGTGGTAACCGTAGTATAAGCAGAATAATTGACTCTGGGCCATTTCATTTTTTGAAAAATAATGCACACCCGCATCACCACCACCAGCCCAGAGTCAGTTATTCCTTATATACTATAATATACTATATAATAATCCCACTTAGGGCTGCACGATTAATTGAATGCGATTGTCATGCGCAATTTGTTAGTAAAGCCGGTTCTGTAATCAGTAGGAAATCATCATCACGTGCTTTCAGATGAAGCAGAATTTACTACAGATAACCGTAGTTCACTGACAAGTTACGCAAAAAAAAATCGCGATTCTGAAATCGAAGAAATCGTTCGCGATAATGACAGCTGTTTGCGTAGCTTCTCAGTGAACTACGGCTCTGTGAAGTAAATGCTGCTCCATCTGAAAGCATGTGAAAATACCACATTTAATAACATATTTTTACTCCAAACTCACTTCATAACATCAGTCGAGTGTTTGAAATAAATCCTTCTGTGAGATAATGTGGCTTCTTACACAAAATAAGGCACGCAACATATTTCATAGTATTTAAGCAGTGATAAGGGCATTGCATTATAAATATACTTTATTTAAATGAAAATGATAATAATAAGAACTCAGATAAACCATATATTGTCGTAGTCGTGTGTTTATTAGTCAACGTTGAATCAATGAAAGCAGTTGAATCTTCTGTTTATTCAGCTGCAGCTATAGGAGTTTTCTGGGTTTCTTCTGCGAGGCGTATTTGGAGTTTCAGCGCGAGAGCGCCCTCTGGCCTTTGGATGGAGATTTACTGCTGATCACTGAACCGTGCTTCACTGAAAGATATGCATGACAATCGCAGCTTCTGTCAAATCGCGATCTCGATTCCATTTCGATTTATCGTGCAGCCCTAGTCTCACTATTCACAGTGTTCTTAAACAATTTGATTGATATCACAATATCCACCTTTTAATGGAAAGGTGGCATGAAAAATTGCAACAACGTATTGGAAAAATAAACAATTATTGTCTGTTTTATCTGTTTTGTTCTGAAGCAATCCTTTCCATCACACAACTTGCCCAGTTTCACATTTTAAATGTAGGATTTGCATTTACACTGAATTGGCTGTATTTCCACCTGCAGTGAGCTTTTAAATGCTTTGACTGAATCATTGATGAGCGAGTTAAACTCGAGTCAAATCAACTGATTCTTTGTAAAAATCAGACTCAAAATTATTCATTGTGTGCTATATTCTATAGCGCACAAGTCATATGGACTACTTTTTATTGTACTTTTCTGGTGCGTGTGTGTGTTTTAAACTTGAAAACGTTAGTCTCCATTATAATTGCATGGAAAAGAACAACCAGCACAGTCTCCTGAGTTTCTCCATTTTGTGCTCCACACAATAAAGTCATGTGGTTTTGAAAGTACATGAGGGTTAATAAATAACAGAATTTATGGCTGAGATTCAGTTTTCATGAATGTTGTGTCCTTTGTTGTGTTGTGACCTATTTGAGCGGTTTGTTTGTGGTGTGGTTTGCTTTGAAGCTGAATAGTGATATAATGAGGCTCCATTAATGCTCTTCAGATGTTCTTGTTTCTATGATAGAATCTAATAGCTCTGATCTCCAGGCACTATTAGTGTGCGATGGCCAGAATAATTAGCCTACCTTGTTGCCCTCTCATTACTTGCAATCTGTTTCTTTAAACCATATAAGTTTGAGATCATGCTTTCACTCTTCAGTTGGAATTTGTCTATAAAAATAAAGTGATAAAATAAGTGGAAGGTTTTCCTGTTGTGCAGATGGGCAGCTCTGGTATTATGTAGATACCGTCTTGAACACATGCAAGATTTTGCTGCCTTTTAAGGCACTGTTTTTCAGCAGCATATACAGTAGAGAGCAACACCCCAGCAGACAGATGGCAGGCTCTTCTATGAACTCATGGTGAAGCCTCAAGTCCAGCTGATGACAAGCTGTGCTTATATGCCTACTTCATTGGCCCTTTAATACACTAGGAGCACATGTGAGCCAGATCCTTGTCATTACAGCCAATCAGAGCTTCAGCAACAGTCATGTTAGTTTTGCCAGCATGCAGTTTCTGATAAACTAGCCTTGGGAAAGACATGGCCTGCGTCCCAATGTGCATACTATCCATCCTAAATTCTATGTGATAGTAGTAATTTTCAATACTATTTAGGGCAGATAGGGTGGATAGTACACACATTGGAACGCAGGGATGATCTTTGCTTTCAGCATTTAACCCAGCGGCGCATGTGCTGTTCAGCTATTATTTTAGTGCCTTCTGCCCCCTGGTGGAAGTGAACAGGCATAGACTCAATTTCCTTCTGAAAACTTCCAAGACTGTTAAACCAGTCTTTTTTCCCCACTTTGCAAGAATAATAATAATAAATAAAAACATTGTATGATTTACAGATCATTTAGACGTTATGATCTTATTTTATAAATTTAGATTATAAATATCTAGTTTAAAATGTGCCAGATACAAAGTAATCATTTAATGTGTATTGTTTGTCATATGTATTGAAAAACATTTATGCAATTTTCAGAAAATTGAGATGTAATTTTTTTTAATTGTTTTAACCATTTAAAAAATATATTTCTGACAAAAACTTAAAATTATTTTTTTAATGTAGTTATTTATTTATTTTTTTATTGTAGTAGACTTGTTTGCAAATGTAATTTTTTTTTTTTTACATTTTTTCAATGTAAAAATAGCAAGTTTTTCATTTAAAACCTAATTTAATTTCCTAGGGTAATATAATTTCAAATCAGATCAGAACAGATCATTCACGCAAAAAGATTACTGACAATGACGCACAGTTGTGAGGGTACTCTTTGAGATATCATATCTTGTTTTGCCTTTTTAAATGTTGGTTATTATTTCTGGCAAAATTGATTTGGCTGACATAAGTTTTTCAAATGTTAATAATATTTTAAAACTGCAAAGTAATCATTTAATGTGTATTGTTTGTCATATGTATTGAAAAACATTTATGCAATTTTCAGAAAATTGAGATGTAATTTTTTTAAATTGTTTTAACCATTTAAAAAATATATTTCTGACAAAAACTTAAAATAATTTTTTTAATGTAGTTATTTATTTATTTTTTTATTGTAGTAGACTTGTTTGCAAATGTAATTTTTTTTTTTTTACATTTTTTCAATGTAAAAATAGCAAGTTTTTCATTTAAAACCTAATTTAATTTCCTAGGGTAATATAATTTCAAATCAGATCAGAACAGATCATTCACGCAAAAAGATTACTGACAATGACGCACAGTTGTGAGGGTACTCTTTGAGATATCATATCTTGTTTTGCCTTTTTAAATGTTGGTTATTATTTCTGGCAAAATTGATTTGGCTGACATAAGTTTTTCAAATGTTAATAATATTTTAAAACTACTGCTTCACGGCATCTTATTCATATGCCAAAATATTTTCGATCTCTATTTTTTTGTTATGATTTCAGTATGGCTACTCGTTTTTTGGCATTTTGTTCATTTAGTTCAACTCAGTCACAGTGAATCTATAAATTATAATGTAAATGTGTAATGTATTATTCTTTTTTATCTCTGCACAGACTGAGGGGTAGATGTATCACCCGGAGCGAGCGCAGTATGAAGAAAGCAGGCAGGCCAGTGGGGAATAAGGCAGCAAGTGGTGGAGGTAAATGTGACTCAGTGACAACTGGAACCTCTGCTGGCAAAAGCGCTGTTAAGAGTCCTACCACAGCTCCGCTCTCCAAGGTAACATCACCCTCTTGCACAGATTAACAACTTAAACTAATATTTAAGTCACGGTTATTGTATCTTTTTTGTTGATTTGTTAATCTTTGATTAACAGGTCAAAAGCAATGATGATCTTCTAGCTGCTATGGCTGGGAGCAGTGCAGGGACAAACAGCAGTGTTGCCAAGGGCAAGAAATCAGCCTCTACTCACTCAACATCCTGCGGAACAAACACTAATAACCCTGACACAAAGACCAAGACCACCTCAGGTATTTAAATGTTTTGTTTAATTTAGCCAATAACCAAATAACTATTTGGGCATTGTTTAGACTACTGTTCTACTGTTTTGTTTATTTATTCTCGTATTTGACATTATTTCTTCACAAGGCCCATCTGGCAAACGGACTTCATCCACGGCCTCCAAGGAGTCAAACTGCTCACGTGATCGTTTGCGAAACTCCAGAAACTCCAGCAGTAAGAAGCAGTCATCCACTGGTGCTTCTGATCGAGCCCAGCCCAGGTATTCCCGTGGACTGGCCCAAACCTCAGACTCAGAGAGCCGCATGTGCAAATCAAAGTCTGACGGACAGCTAAGTGATAAAGTGGCCCTGGAGGCCAAAGTGAAAAATCTGTTAGGTCTGGCCAAGAGCAAAGACGTGGAAATCCTGCAGCTACGGGGTGAGCTGAGGGACATGAGGGTTCAGCTGGGACTGCCTGAGGTTAGATCAACTTCACATTATAATATTGCTGCTTGATCATTTTGATATGTCCTGCTTAATTCTGTTTTTGGTTCTGACTATGAATGAACAAATGAACAAAACAAGACAAGAGTTCTTGAATTTCCTATCACATTAAATTCAGACTGCAGTCTCACAACCCAAGTAAAATATCATTTATTTTCATAATGTTCAGTGACACTGTAGATTCATCAGCAAAATAATTCACAAATTAAAAACTAATTCAGCCTATATTCAGTTCTAATATAATTGAAAAAAATAGTTTTCATCTACATAAACTACCAAAACACATTGCACAATCAAAGTAAAAAATTGTGTTTTCGGTAATCCAGTGCATGCTTTGTTTCCTATAGCAATTTCATAGATATGGTCACTTAGGGAATCCAGTTTCCTCCTCAGAGAAAAAAAATAAAGGTAATTGTTCGCTAAAGTTTAAAATAAAGGATGCAAGTCCCACTGTGAGATAAAAAGTCCTACTATGAAATGTAAAGCCATAGTTACCTTTTTATTTTGTTAATTTTTTGTTACTCTCAGGTAGAAATGGGCTCCATAGTGGCTCGAATAAAGGATATCTCTATGGTTTTTACAAAGACAGCATGATTTGGTCAGCCATATAATCATAATTGGGGAAATTAGGGAAATAATGTGGTTAGTGAGTTTAAGTATTTATGTTGTGATACAAGCACCAGTGAATAGTGTTGGTGAATCTGTAATGTGGCATAACTGATAGCTTAGATCAGGGCTGTCCAAACTCGGTCCTGGAGGGCCGGTGTCCTGAAGAGTTTAGCTCCAACCCCAATTAAACACACCTGAAGCAGCTAATCAAGCTCTTACTAGGCATACTAGAAACTTAAAGGCAGGTGTGTTGAAGCAAGTTGGAGCTAAACTCTGCAGGACACCGGCCCTCCAGGACCGAGTTTTGAGTACTTCCGCTCACTTCTGGATGAGCACGGTGTGGCCTACTCGGTGGACGAAGACATCAAGAGTGGCCGATACCTGGAGCTGGAGCAACGCTACGTGGATCTCGCGGAAAATGCTCGCTTTGAGCGTGAGCAGCTGTTAGGTGTGCAGCAACATCTGAGCAATACACTAAAGATGGCTGAGCAGGATAATGCTGAGGCTCAGAGTGTGATCGCAGCCTAGTCTTGCAGTATGCAAACTGATCCACTTACACAGCAAGAGACTGTCTAAATCCCACGTAAAGCAATCAACCAAATTATTTTGTTTTTACATGCTGAAATACTTCTACCTTTTTAAAGATGATTTTGTTTCCCTGCGGAGTGATTCAAAACCTGTGCATCCTGCCTCCAGGAAGCTGCCTTGCAGTCAGGCAGTCTTTTGTGCAAGATGCATAAGATAATGTGAATCTAGTTGTGGGAGGTTCGGGTACATGCATGTTCAACACTAGGAGAGCCTCTAGTAATTGGTGTGTCTTTCTCATATCACCACATGGTGGCGTTAGTAGTTTATGATCTTATGCTGAACTGTTGAATCTAGTCTTGCAGTATGCAAACTGATCCACTTACACAGCAAGAGACTGTCTAAATCCCACGTAAAGCAATCAACCAAATTATTTTGTTTTTACATGCTGAAATACTTCTACCTTTTTAAAGATGATTTTGTTTCCCTGCGGAGTGATTAAAAACCTGTGCATCCTGCCTCCAGGAAGCTGCCTTGCAGTCAGGCAGTCTTTTGTGCAAGATGCATAAGATAATGTGAATCTAGTTGTGGGAGGTTCGGGTACATGCTATGTTCAACACTAGGAGAGCCTCTAGTAATTGGTGTGTCTTTCTCATATCACCACATGGTGGCGTTAGTAGTTTAAGTATGTGGTTTACTTATTGTGTTAGTAGTGTGAAGCAGCAGTGATAGAATAATGTTTTTTTAACATCACTTGACAGATCACAGATGGTGGCATTTAGAATGAGGTTAAAAATGCATTATGTTTTTATTACGTAATTAATGTTGCTAGTGCAACAGTGCATTTCTTTCATTATTCCCCCATGTAAACCCTGTATGCCCTCATTTCACATGCTCACTCGCTCTCTTTCCGGTTTCCTGGCAGATTCGATGAAAAAGCTTCAGGATCAGAAGCATGACATGGAGAGAGAGATAAAGATACTGCACCGCAAACTCAGGGTGAGCGAGGGCAGGGGCAGCAGTGCATGCTGTCATCTGAGGACCCGGCTTTCACAGATAGGCATAGTTTGAAAGGATGTCTTCAGATTTTAAGTATAATGCTAGGATAAAACAACCGCAAAAAAATTAATTTCTTATTAAAGGATTCACTTTGATTCACTTTGTCGACACCACTTTTTATGTTTATTAATTAATATTTGTCTTAACCCCAGTAATGTCCAGATCTTTGTCCGTATGGTTGTCAAGTTGTTTTCCAGTTTTTAAAACCCGCATCACCCTATAGCGCCATTTTGGAGAGTATAACATACGTAAACAATGTATGTACGCGGGTAAATTTTTTTACAAATTGCTGAATAAAGTTGTTATTTTTGTTTTCTTTGTGCACAAAAAATATTCTCGTAGCTTCGTAAAATTACGGTTGAACCACTGATGTCACATTATTTTAACGATTATTTTGACAATGTCCTTACTACGTTTCTGGACCTTGATCGTGTTAGGATCCGTGCTGTCTATGGGAGGATCAGAGAGCTCTCTGAATTCATCAAAAATATCTTAATTTGTGTTCCGAAGATGAATGAAGGTCTTACAAGTTTGGAATGACATGAAAAATTTTCATTTTTGGGTGAACTATCCCCTTTAATTATATTAATGTAGCGGATGAGAGTCACGTAATCATTTAAATTTAATAAAGAGTTTCCTGTCTATGATTAGACGGAGTATCCATGTTGAAAATGTGTGACTCTGTACTGTCTCAAAGGCAAGATGAGGAGCGTGGACGTGTATTTAACTACATGAATGCTGTTGAGAGGGACCTGGCTGCACTGAGGCAGGGCATGGGACTGAGTCGACGCCCCTCTACATCCTCCGAGCCGTCACCCACCGTTAAAACCCTTATCAAAAGCTTTGACAGTGCTTCACAGGGTACCTCGCCGTTTGCTGGTTTTATTTCCATTTCATGTGTATGGGGCATCTTTAACAGTCTAAAAAGGTTGATTTAATCTGTTTTTTTTAATGTTCTCAGGTCCTGGAGCTAATGCTACTGCAGTCGCTGCCGCAGCCGCAGCCGCCACCGCTGCAAGCACAACCACGAGCGCCCCCTTACCTCGCACACCTCTCAGTCCCAGCCCTATGAAGACCCCGCCTGCTGCTGCTGTCTCACCCATACAGGTATCTCAGAGTCACACAATAACACATAGCATTAGGGTTGGGTATCGTTTGAATTTGATCAATTCCGATTCTTTTCGATTCCCAGTTTCGATTCCAGTGTGATTAAATAATGATATCAAACATTTATCCTGTGTCTCTTTTTTGCAAACCATTTAGTTGCAGCTGAATACCATGAACAAAAATCAACAGGCTACATAAAAAGCTCTTTAAGAGCTGTTTGTGAGCAAAATAGAACTGCATGATTCTGGATAAATTGAGTTTTTTTTTTTCTTTTTTTGCCCCAATGGAAGTTGTGGTTCTCTCATGATTCTGAAGAAAAAACATTAGACAACTAAACAAAATCACATGTAATTTATGAATGAATGATTCAATAACTCACTCAAGATGTACTTGTTTCATTACTGGATGAATCCAAGTTATTGAACGAATCTCTTGTATGATTCAAAGACATACATTTTAACACCCCCTTTTTGCCACCTACTGGCGTAACAATGTAATCGATAAATCTTCATTTGAAGAGTCAAATTACTTTCAAAAGATTTACTCTATTTCAATCGTTACAGTACACATCAGAGTTTATATCTGAACTATAAACTTTTATCCCAGTACTTCTGTGATTTGAATGTTTGTAACACAGAAATAATGATACTGTGTGGCTGAAAAGACTGTGAAGCTGTTTCATTCATGATAGACAGCTGCTCTCTTTATGTCAGCGGCAGCGCGATCGCAGATTTGAATGTTCAAATCACACTGGTGTGATCGTACTCTGCATGGACGAACCACGTGATCACAAAATTGATCGTACATGTCAAAGGTTGAGGAATGAAACAGACGAATCATTATAATTTAGGAATAGAATCACGTTGGGGTTTGAATCGTGTTTGCGATCTTTAACGATCTATTAAATTAAAGTGCTTTGTCATGTTGGTGGTGACACCTCTCTTGCAACATGTTTAGCTTTCACAGATATTATACTTAGCTTTTTTGGCTTCTGATCAAAAATGTAGCCAAACTTTGGAGCGCTTAGATTAGCGAGCAAGGTCCTGGCAGATCGCTAGGTCGGGTCCTCACTAGGGCTGGTCCGAATACCATTTTTTGAGCTTCGACGCTTCGGTAGTAATCAACACTGAATATTCGAAGCTTTTGGAGGGAGGGGGCTGAACATATTCTTCTCTCTAATAAAGGCAGGAATCTCTGTGTGTTTGTCTGTCTGTTTGCATTTTTATTATGTCGAGATTGAGAACCGTTCATCCAATCGACTTCACGCGTAGCGGGTGTGTTGCTGTGGACCCAAGGGAGTGCAGTGTCGCATTTTGGTGCAGTATGGACACGCGACACATTCAGAATGAATAAACTTTTAATAACCTACAGAACAGCATGAGCCGGAAGCGGCGTGCCTCACGCAGGCAGGGCTTATATGCTCCGAGAACAGACACTGCACTAGTGATACAAAACACACAGGTCTGTTAAGAGCAATATTTTTAATATAGATATTATTATTATTAAGCTGGGCTACTGTATGTTTTTTTATGACTGCCGTATTCGCAAGTATTTTCCAAGCAAATTAAGTGCACGTTTTTATCATTTGTAAAATTACTGATTAACATGGCGGATAAAAGCAGCTCGTTTTTTTTTACACCAACAATATACTATAGGCGTACTACTTACAGAACTTTTACAGATTTTTCAAACTTGATGTGCTGTTGTGGTAGGCCAGTTTCAAATCGCATATTTGGCACACTGCCTTTGTCTTGTCCTCACTCAATTTAAAGTGCTCCCACACAGCTGAGGTCTTCGGCATTTTTGTCTTCTCTTCCAGATGAACTGAATCATGATGTTCATGACGTTCACTCATGGGCGATTCATATTCAAGCACAAATGAGAACCGTTTTGCGGGAGATGCCAGGTGTTCGAAAAAAAAAAAAAGAATATTCGAATCTCAAAATTTAAAATCGAATGCCAACCCACCGAACGAATATTTGAATATCGAATATTCTGGTCCAGCCCTAGTCCTCACGTATGAAGAAAAAAAAGCGCATAGGAATCGATAGGCAGAATCGAAATTTTAATTTGACAACAAGTATCCGATTCTAGAATTGGAATCGATTTCCGATTCCCAACCCTACATAACATACTTCCACAATGCTGCAGAGTGACTTATTTTCACTGTGAAGGTCAAACAGTAGCATTCTGGCTCTTTTCCTGCTTTTTGAACCTCGGAAGCCTCTGATATAGCAGCACTTCCTCCTCCTGTGGGCCTCTTGACATTTCTCACAGCATATGCTCATTCATGAGAACTACAGAATTTCCATTGTGGGATGGTTTGGTTTCCTTTTACGTTTTATTTCTAGTGCAGTCATAACTTCTGATACTGTCTGGATGTGAAACTGAATTTTTGGTTTCTATTTATGCAAGATCCGGTCTTATGTTCCTCAGTTCCAAACCATAAATGTTGCACATCTAGCTCAACAAAAGAGCTGTTCTTGCACATTAGCCAGTAAGCTTAAAGGGATAGTTCACCCAAAAATGAAAATTCTGTCATTAATTACTCACCCTCATGTCGTTCCAAACCTGTAAGTCCTTCATTCATCTTCAGAACTCAAATTAAGATATTTTTGATGAAATGTGAGAGCTCTCAGACCCTGCATAGACCGCAATGCAACTGTAATGTTCTCAGGTACAGAAACGTTGTAAGGACATCGGTAAAACAATCCATGTGACATCAGTGGCTCAACTTTTTTTTGAGTGCAAAGAAAACAAAAATAACAATTTATTCAACAATTCTTCTCCCCCGAGTTACGTCTTCTGCCATTTTATAGTGTCAAAACACATACGCACACTTTCCCCTAAGCATAAACAACGCTGATTACGCAGATTACCTTCATGCGCGCACTTTCTCCCCCGAACGTAAACGATGCTGATTACGTCGATTACGCTCTTGGGTACTCTCCAAAATGGCGGAAGACGTAACTCGGGAGAGAACAATTGTTAAAGGTGACATATCATGAAAATCTGACTTTTCCAGATTTTAAGTGCTATAATCAGGTCCCCGGTGCATCTACCAACCAAGGAAACGTGAAAAAGATTAACCCAGTAGCTTTGTTTTGGGAAGCCTTTTTCTACAAGTGTCTGAGAAAACAAGCGCGTCTGGTTTTGCTCCCTTGGTGACGTGGCAAAGGGATCTCATTACAATATTACCGCCCCTTAATCTGTAAAATTTCCACCCACGGTGCCGTAATTGTGTTTTCGCAAGCGACAACAGTGTACCAGTTTTAATGCCATGGCGAAAGTTTGAGCAAAACATGCTAACTGTTCTGCCTTTGGCTGCACAGACGAGCACAGAACACTATTTAGAGTCCCAGCCTCAGAGGAGACAAGAGAGCAGTGGATTTATTGATTTATTTAATGTATATTGCTGCT